ATTCCTGCAACCATTTCCTACTGTTTTGCAGAGAGGTTTGGGTAGTTTTGATGGGAGTTAGGTCCTGAGGGATGGATGCCAGATTAGGCCAGTCCTCCTTATCTGTCCTCTCTTGGACTCATCCTAGTTGGCTCTGGCAGAGATTTGGTACCTGGTTTGTCCATCATGCAGAAAAGAGGCAGGCAGTAACTCTGAGGGGTCTGAGCTGAGCACTCTGCCCTTTGTTGAGAAACTATAGAAGTGGATACCATCAGGAGGAAAGGAGCACCCACTTCCCCTGGAGCTCAGACCCTCCAGGGGGATCTGATTACAGTGCACACAGGTGAGCTCTCCTCCCTCCCCAGGAAGCTGGGGGCCGCCACAACACAAGGGCTCAGGACACAGGAGAGAATTGCAAGGCCTGTACCCAGCAGTTAATGGGGCCTTGCCCTCTTCCCCAGTAGACAGCAGCCTCAGCTGTCTACACATGCTAAAGCCCACAGCCTCATTCCCAGATAAGTCCAGACCATGCCCTGACATCTGCAGGCTCAGCCTAGCACTGGCAGGAGTCAGTGGTTTGAGTACTTGAGTTATAGGTGAGAAGGGGATGTTCCAGGTCTCTCAACCCAGCCCCCCATGATGCCTTAGCTCAGGAGTGGGGTCCAAGACCCTGGGAGGAGCTGAGAGAGTAGACACCACTAAGGCAGGGTGACAGCATCATTATTTAACCGAGATGTTAGCTAATCTTTGGCTGCCCTACCACACTACAGTAAATAGATTAACATGATTTGTACTTGCTTCTGCAGATCCGGGAGACAGGGGAAAGACCTAGCAATGAGGAGATCATGCGTTTTTCCAAATTATTTGAGGATGAGCTGACCCTGGATAACCTCACGCGGCCACAGCTGGTGGCGCTGTGTAAGCTGCTGGAGCTCCAGTCCATTGGCACCAACAACTTCCTGCGCTTCCAGCTCACTATGCGGCTGAGGTCCATTAAGGCTGATGACAAGGTGAGCCACAGAGATGTGGGCTGCGCAGACTTGGCACTGCTTCTCTGAATTTTTACCTTCATTTTCTGATTTCAAAAGCACGTGTCCTCATTATAGTACCCTGGAAGATACTGAACATTAGAAGCGGATGGGATCACTGGTGGTCTTACCCCCCAGAAGATGACCTGTGACCGTTCATACTTTTCTGTCACTTTGCCATGTGTAACGTACACAGAATGTGTGTGCATGTGTGTGTGTGTGTGTGTGTATCTGCATTTACTATAGTAAAGCCTGGAATCATGCAGCCCATGCAGTTTTTCACATGGTGTAACATGGGATCTTCTCATGTCACTACTCATTGAAAAGATAGATTATTTTAGGTTTTTTTTTTTTTTTGAGAGGTTTTTGCTATAGGGCACGTGCGCTCGCCAGACAGACAGAGAGAGACATAGAGACAGAAAGCGAGAAATCATCCCCCAGAGGGGATGGCCACGCTGCAATCCCTTCTCCTCCATTCTCCTCTCAGGATCTTGAGCACACATGCACACGCGCCTGGTGTGAGTTTTAAGCCACCAGCTCCGGAACGCGAACCGCCGTCGACTACGTGGGAGTCCAGCGACACAGCCATCACGCTAACTGCTGGTCCCAATTATTTTAGGTTTTTGTTGTTGTTTTAGAGTACATGTGCTCGTTGGGAGATTGGAGTGGAGTGAGAAAGCACCCTCCAGTTAGAGAAGGAAAATGAGAAATCACCCTAAATCATCCCCTAAGGAGGATGGCCAAACTGTAGTCCCTTGTCCATTCTCCTTTTGAGATTTTGGGCACATGTGTTTTTCAAACTGCTGGGTCCAGGACTCAAACTGCAAAGTTGCCAGTGTAAACCACCTTAACCACCATGTCACTTGCTGGACTGAAAAGATTTTAATGATCGTCCAACATGTCATTTGGGGAATGCATCATTATTTAACCAAGACTTTTGTTAATCTTTCACTGCCCTAGACAACACTGTAGTAAATATCATTAACATGGACTTTTTTGCCCATATATATGATAATTTCCTTAAAAATAATGACTGAGGACCCAGACACAGTAGTGTACAGATAGCCTCCCTGCAGTTTATGTGTTTTTGTCCATATCATTTTCCTTTACCTGAGTAATATCGTTTAATATTTCTATGACTTAAATCTGCTTTGATGAGTTTTCTTATTTTTCGTTTGTCTGAATGTGTCTTTATTTTCCTTTGGTTTTTGTAAGGCAGTTTTCGTGGGTGTAGAACTTTAGGTTTGTGGTTCTTTTCCTTCCGCCCCTAGAAGAGGTCATGGCATTGGCTTCTGACTTCTATCATCTCTCCTAGGTGGTCAGCTGTCAGACCTATTATTATTCTTCTGAAGATGTATACCTTTTCTTTAGCAGCTCCTAATATTTTCTTCGTTTTGTTTTGTAGTAGTTTTATGGTAATATGACTGGATGTGTCTGTCTTACATGTGGATTAGTCACAGTGCTTATCATGAGATACTGCTGCTGCTTCACTCTCTTCTCCCCTTAGGGACAGCACTCACTGTCGGTTAGACTTTTTACCTTATGCTGTGCATCACATGTGCTCTCTTCTGTATTTTACAAACTTTTTTGTTTTCAGGTTATTAGTTCTCTTTTCTTCTGGGTCTAACCTACCCATCTTTTTTATTATTATTATTTAGTATTATTACTTTTAGATTTGTTATAGGGCACATGCACTCACCAGCGAAAAAGAACAAAAGCTGCCAGGTCCAGAACTCAAAGCACAGTTAGCCATATGGGAATTCAGCACCTTAACCACCACATCACCTGTTGACCCATAATCTACCCATTTTATAAATTCTTTCTTTCTTTTTTTTTCTTAAGAGAGATTTTTGCTGTAGGGCATAGGTGCTCACCAGAGAGACAGAAAGTGAGAAATCACCCCCCCCGGGGGGGGGGATGATCATGCCACAGTACCTTCTCCTCCATTCTCTTCTTGGGATTTTGGGCACACACGCAGATGTGCCCAGTGTGAGTTTGGTTTTTGTTTTTGTTTTTGTTTTTGTTTTTGTTTTTGTTTTGTTTTTGTTTTTAAAGTGTGAGTTTTAAGCTGCCAGAGCTGGGACTCGAACTGTCAACTACATGGAAGTTCAGCGACATAGCCATTATGTCATCTGCTGGTCCTCCACGTAATAAATTCTTAATTTGAGTCTTAGAAAAAAAGTATTTTTAAGAGTGATTAAATTTTGGGACCAGCAGATGGCATAATGGTTATGTCACTGGACTCCCACATAGTTGACCACAGTTCAAGTCTCAGACCCTGTGGCTTGAAACCCACACTGGACACATGTCTGTATGTGTCCAAAATCCTGAGGGGAGAATGAGGATCAGGGATTTAGCATGACCATCCCCCCTGGGAGATGATTTCTCACTTTCTGTCTCTGTCTCTTTCTGTCTCTCTGGCAAGCATATGTGCCCTACAGTAAAAATCTTTCTAAAAAAATTATTAAATTTTATTCATCATTATTAGTATCTTTAATTTTCTATAGAGCACTTGTACTCACTAGAGAGAGAGAGAGAAAGAGAGAGAGACCACAGTTTGAGTCCCAGACCTGGTGACTTGTTCTCCCATTCTGTCTCTCTCTCTCTCTCTCTGATGAGTGCAGGTGTCCTATAGCAAAATTTTAAAAAGAATAATAAAATTTTTTTAAAAATTTGTTAAGATTTTAGGCCTCAGGGCCAGCAGATGGCATAGTGGTTACGCAGTTTAAGTGTCAGACTCGGTGGCTTAAAAGTCACACCGGGCATATGTACATATGTGCCCAAGATCCCAGGAGGAGAACAGAGGAGGAGGGATTGTGGTGTGACTATCCCCTCAGGGGGTGATTTCTTTCTTTCTTTCTTTTTTATGGTAAAGAATTGTTTATTTAATTTTATTTATTCATTCATTTAATTTGACATGAGAAAGACACACAGAGAGACAGAGAGACAGGGAAAGTAAGAAAGCAAGCCATCAGGTATGGGACTCGAACCATGGTTGGCCATGTGGGAATGTCCAGCACCCTAACCACCATGCCTCCTGCTCGCCTCCAGGGGTGACTTCTTACTATCTCTGCTCTGTCTCTCTCTCCAGCGATTGCACATTCCCTAAGGCAAAAACCCTTAAAAAATCAGGTCTTAGGACCAGCAGATGGCGTAATGGCTACATTGCTGGACTCCCATGTAGTTGACCATGGTTCAAGTCCTGGACCCAGTGGCTTAAACTCATGCCAGGCGCATGTGCCTGTGTGCCCAAGATCCTGAGAGGAGAATGGAGGAGAAGGGATTGTGACGTGGCCATCCCCCCAGGGGGTGATTTCTCGCTTTCTTTCTCTCTCTGATGAGTGCATGCGCCTGATAGCAAAAACCTCTCAAAAAAAACCTGTCCCACTTGTCATATGTTTCCTTGAACACATTACTGTCATATTATTCAATAGCTGAGCAATCTGTAGGCCTTTTTCTTTTGTTTTCTCTATTCGTTTTGTTTGCAGTTTTTCATTTTTCTCTAATACAGGCATTGTCTGTGGACAGGCTCTGGGTGGTTGTGATCTCTTTCATGAAGGGTCCACCTGTACGTCCACCTGCATGGAGGCTGGTCAGTTCCCCAATCAGGGCAAAGGCCAGGTGTGGAGACTGAGCCTCCATCCGCATCAGGAGGTATCTAACAGGGTAACCAGCCTCTTAACTGGACAGTAGGGAGCCCTTTCATCCCTAAAAGGTGATAATTCCTAACCTAACCCCCACGGGAGCTGGACTTCACCTCTACTTGGCAGTTGCAAGATACTCCTCCCTCAGTAATGAGGCCACCTCTGGCCATGGTATCAATGCGAGTGAGGTAGGAAACAGTAGTGAGGGACCAGCAGAAGGCGTAATGGTTACATCACTGTACTCCTACGTAGTCAACTGCAGTTCGAGTTCCAGACCCTACGACTTGAACTCACGCTGCCAGGCACATGTGTGTGCATGCCCAGAATCCCAAGAGGAGAATGAAGGAGAGGGGATTGCTGCGTGGCCACCCCCCTGAGGGATGATTTCTTGCTCTCTGTCCTTCTCTCTCTCTGGTGAGCACACATGCCCTATAGTAAAAATCTCTCTGAAAACAAAACAAAGGAAACAGTAGTGAAATGCTTCTACCCCTTTCAACCAGAAAGGTGTCTGTGGAGGCGTCTCGTCACTCCCTTCCAGCAGTAACAAGTGAAACCCAAGGTTGGATGGACATAGACTTCTGTCCCACCTTCTGTAGGATTCAGTGCAGGGCTACCATGGAGTGATTGCAAAGAGAGACCAGGGCCACTGAGAGAAGTTTGTTACTTACAGTTACCGTAGAGATGTGGCAACGTGCCACAGCATGCCCTGCTGGGCCACGTGGAACCTTGACAATGTTCATGGGGAGCAGAAAGGTGGGGTGGGAGACAAGTGCAAGGAACTGGACCTGAGCTGTCTTCAGTGGCATGCCAGAGGTGGCCAGGTGGGGATGGGTTTGAGCGGGCAAGAAGTAAAACAGACACTAGGGCTTGTGCGTGGTCTGGGAAAGCAGGGCCGCAGGGTAGATGCTAACAGCTCTGGCTCTGTTAGTTTGGCCCTGTGGCTAGTAGGTGCCAAGTCACTTGCAAAATCTATAAAAGTTGGAACATTAACCCCCTTGCTCATGCCAGAGCAGTGTCAGGAAACCAGCAAAGACAGATTGAAATAAGATCCAGATTCTCATAACATACTATCCAAAATGTCCAGGTTTCAATCAAAAACGACTCGCCATAGTAAGAACAAGGGAGATTCCAGAGTGAATGAAAAAAATGCAACCAAGAGATGGCAACACCAAGACGGCAAATGTTAGAAAGAAAAACCGGAGACGGCATCAGAGCAGCCACCTTAAAAAGCTTCAATGAGCCATTGCTATTTTTTAAAATTATTTAGTTAATAATTATTTAAATATTACATTAATTTGACTGGGGGAGGGGAGTGAGAAAGCAAGCCACCAGGTCTGG